AGGCTGAAGTGAGAATGCATTCCACGCACTCCGTAAAGTTTAATGGTGCTTGTGAAGATATGAACATTGATGCCGACGTAGAATAAATCCACTATCGTGAGATTATGCACAGCGGCGTCACTTTTACCCACCAAGACATCGTTGATGTCGTCCCCATCGGCCGAATCTCCAAGAGATGATTAGGCGGAAAAGGCCCCGACAGCGCCCGCTGGGGAATGGCGACTCCATCCCGCTATAAAAAAAACTTTGCTACGGCACTAAGACTCAAAGGCAAATAAAGCACATACCCGTCATTTGGCAAAAAGTATTTTCGAAATCTCAAAAAGAGAGATCGCGCTCTTTCACCCAAATACAGCAAACTAAGTGAAGGAAGAAAAGTATTTGGATATCAAAGGAATAAAAAAATGAATAACGCAGTGATCAGTTTGTGTTGGTCTCAGCCTGAGAAGGATATTCTATATGTATTTGCTCATTAACAAAATTACAAAAAAGCTTCTATCAATGAAAGTAGAAGCAATCTTTATAAGGTATCGTCTTTATAAAGCGTTACTGAATTCGTCAAATTCCTCTTTAAACATATATATATAATCCAATATAACATATTATAATGCAGTACAAACATAGTTACAACTTAGAACATTTCCCTACAAAAATATAGCGTTGCATCAAATAAATCTTATCTGAAACGTTTTTCACACTCAACATTAGAAATGTGAATATTACCACTTTTAAAGAAATGTAGAAACAGGGTGTACCCCTACGTTACGAGATAACAAAAAATAGACACCATTTACTTATTATGTCAAACATATTACAAACATTCCATGATAAATAAAAGATTGGAAATACAAGAATAAATGCTTTCCACAAGTGTCTGTGCACGCAGAAGCTTTCTTGGCATCCTGATGATAATACAAATAAACTAATACGTTGTAAAAAAAAAGGTTTCGGTAATAGTGACCTCAATGATAATAATAAAATCTATAAATGTAACTACCATACTGCAATATATATAAATATATATATATATATATATATATATATATTTCACTCCGAATACTCACATGATCCTATATATTGAGCGTGATATACATTCAGTTTAAATAAAACAAATGCAACATCCCGTCAAATCTTACCTCTTGTAGAAAATAATGAAATAATATGGAAAAATAAAAAAAACTACGGTGTCAATACTAATGTGAAACTCTTTATTAATTGATAAAGAGTAGAAGAGTGAAAAATACTATTCGAACGTTATATTTGCTTCCTTCATAAACTCCAATCAGAAAGTT